CGCGGAGTATTTTGTCATGTTTCATAAGCTTTATTACTAGTCAGAAGGAAGCCACGCGAGCCGTATCACTTTGCAGACAGCTAATTCGGGTGTTTCTGAAGGAGCTCTAGAACTTTCCAATTGACATTTCGGTTGTTAATACATTTAAAAATGTTTGGTGATTAGTCTTAAACATTTAATTTATTAGGCATAATTAAAAATACTCCACCTCTCGCAAGACGTCTGCCCAAAACATAAAGTTGGTTTCATTGGCGTAAAGTAGCTGCGCTCTAATTTCGCGTTACAGAGATTTGTAAGCGTCGTTCATTTTTATACTTGGTCTTTAAATATTCATGAAAAGCATTCGCGACCTTATCTGTCAAGCCGCGGGACAGCGCGGCCTCCTCGGCGAGTTGTTCCCTCATCGAAGACGACAGTGAATAAAAGGTACGATCAAAATCTTCATGCCTGAAGAAAGCGCAAGTTTAAAATAATTATAAGAGTGTCAGTTGATTTTATTTCTACTATATTCAAATTTCAACACTCGTCGCAGGCAGCATGAAAGGAAGCACTGCACTCTTGGCGCAAACCAGTGCCCAGTCAACGGTCCTACACTCAAACACGGATCACCACTGTTTGAAAAATAAATAATTTCCAGCACTTTTGGTAGAAATGACGAATTTTCTACTGAGCGTGATATTTTGTGAACCCAAAAGTGCTGTAGCCGAGATCGGTAGTTCATAGCTTCAGGAAGGCGAAGAACGACGGATGCATTATTTCCCGCGGAAGTACTGTTTTGACGTTGAATTCCACATAAAATTGTATTTGCACAAATTGTGGCACGATACCGAACTTGCTTGATTACTTTTCTTTTAGAGACAACATAACCAGGCATAATCTACAGATATTGCTGAATTTATTTTAATTGGCGTACAGCGCGAAAGACAAGTATGGACATAAAGAACACAATGTAGCTCTGCATTTCTACTGCATTTCTTTCTGTACTTGTGGAAAGTTAGTACGCATGACTATATTCAAAAATTAACAAATCGTTTAAGCCTACCCCTTTTTATAGTTTTTTTCATAGATTAATTAGGAATTGTGGCGAATCCCGGCTGGGTTCGGGTAAACATCTCGCACGTGTTCAAGGACACATTTCGGCATGATTTCCCGCTTGGTGACGACGTTGTGCTGGCCGCTGTTCCGCTTCTTTTCTAAGTAGGCGGGGAACGCCAGACGCCTAAATTAGCCAAGCAGCCCCAAAACTTGCGGTAGTACACCTTCCGAACTCCTGGGTTTTTTTTTAGAGATGGTCGCTGGCCTTCGCCCACCCTGACAGAGCCCCGAACAATTATGATGCAAGGGCAGCAGAGGCTAACTGGGCATTCCATTTCTTAATCAGCGAACAAATGGGAACAGAAGAGAATGAAAACTTCGTAATACCAGCTGTCTTTTAATAAATGGCATAATATGCTACTATTGCTAATTGCACTATTTTACGTGAAGAAAAGTGTGATTTTTGCGGTTCAATCTCCGTATTTCCCGCTCTCTTTGCTGATACGCCAAATATTTGTCTGCTGTCGAGTTTTCAGTTACATTTGTTGACAGAAACTAAATGCATGTTTGGCCACGAAGAAATTTTTTTCAAAGGCTGAAGATAGATGAAATATACCATAAACCGTTTCACTTTTTATAGAAGTTTGTTTTTACTCTTCTTAGTAGCTTCAGCGAGGCGACCGTCACTCTAGAAAACACCTGTAGTACGAACCTATATATTATGCTCCAGAAATGGTCAGACTGTGTCCCCCTGACTGCAATATCTTTGACTTGTAATTACTCATGATTATTACTTTGTACAAAAAAAAAAAAAAAAACACACACAATAGTGATACAACCACTCTTCAGTGTGCCGTTGTTAGAACGACCAATTTTCAACTCTCTGGGTAGAGCTCAAAGTTCAAATAAAAATACCCATCTTTTTTCCTTCTGCTGTGATGTTCAAGTTCCGTTCACTCGAGATAAATATGCGGTGTTGTAACGTATGTGGCCGCATGCGGAAGTATCTGAATGTAAAAGAACTTGTGGGCCTAGTTGGTGTTGTCTATCTGAGTGTGTTTTAGAGCTGCAGAAAAAGAGTAAAAAAAAAAAAGGAGAAAAGCGAGCCAGCTCGAACCCTTCCGAGCTCATATCCAGCCGGCCTAACTAATCCCTGGTGTTTGAGATTGAAGCAGAGAACCTTGAAGGGTTTGGGAGATTTTGTCGGGGAACCGCTAAGCCTATTAGCATTCGTGCGAGAAGGCCGGAAAAAGCGAGGAGGAAAATGGAGGAGGAAAGGGGAGGAGGAAAAAAAGAAAAGAGGGGGAATCTTCTGCCACGCTGAAGAAAATTTTGAGCACCCGCCTTTAAGCTGATCGGATATTCTCCTTTTACTATCGTATCTATAAGACGCGCTTTGATATTGCCGTTTGACATCTAACCTAACTCGGCCTGACCTAGCTTCACCTGCCTGAATCTGTCATAACCAAGCACGTAACCACATTCGGTAATCAGTATGTAGTGGCTGCTTCGAGCCTGGGCTTCCTTTCTTACGTACCCATCTCCGATCGCGAAGGTAATAGAATCAATAGACCTAGGGTGCCTTCATGTGCGCTTTGCTTGGGGTGATGACATCCGGCCATTTTGTTTCGAACGCTTATTTTAATTTTTTGTTTTGAAGTGCCTGAAAGAGCGTGTCCCTGCACGCGCTCGTGGAGCTGACTGTGCTACTGCGACATTTTTTTTCTGCAATTTCTTTGCATTTTCTCTCTGAGCGCGTGCTGTCGGCATCGGGTACTACAAACGACGGCATCACCCTAAACAGAAGGACATGGCAACAAGCAGAAAAGGACGGAGCATAATTTTTGCTTTCCACTGTGACTGCACTGGAGTTGGGTCTTACGCGAAGTCAATGCGCTATCATATGGAACTAACGACCGCGTTCTGCAGAAAGTGGCTAAATTTGAAGAAATGGCCGTTCCATTAGGGTCACAGCAGAGAGGGTAAAAAGAGAAAAAAATGCCCCCCCCTCTCACCCGTGTTTCGTCTGCTCCGCCGAATGGGCAGTACCTAGCATCCGGCTGGCGTACGAACTCTGTTTAAAATCGCGTCATTTTGGACATTTCAAGCGCAGATGCGCAGATTTTGGTATGCCAGTTATTGTATATTACTATGCTAGACAAAAAGACTAACAGAGTCCAATTGCGCTGTTATCTGCGTGCAAATACAAAAAAATAGGGAAAAATGTGTCAGACTGGCCGGTCTCTCCGGCGAAAAGTGAATCCGGTGGCTGTACCTTTTTTTACTATACAGAGTTCGTACTGGTGTAGGCCTTTAGCGACCATGAGTGGATGTCTGAGATAATAAATAAAAACGTGCTCTCCTGCCGCAATACACGCAATAGTTAAGGGTAGTACTGCCGGCTGACTCAACTGCTATTTAAGTAACGGAAAAAAGATATTCAGTTGATCATTTACCGAAGTAGAACAACAGAGAGCTCTCGGCTGATTTTGGAGTAGCCATAACTATTCTAAGAACGCGAACCACTTCACAATGGCAGCCACGAGCGAGCGTTCGATGTTCCCTAGAGCCCGCCGATACAGCCCAAAGATGGAGAATGGCAACCTCCCGTTTTGTCGTCTGCTAGCGGAGTCGGTCTCGTGCCCTCTCTCTCGTTTTACTCCGCCGAACCCGCTGAATTTCCCGGATGTATGGAGAGGGCGCTGCAGTCGAACAAAATGGTGCCGCCCAGAGAGCGCTAAATGGAATGGTCTATAGACCTTTCCAGCGGCAGTCTCGAACGAAGCGATTTACAGCGCGCGTCCCTGGTTTTGAGAGTGTACGTCAGTGTTGCCCGACTGCGCTGAGCTGTGGAGTTTCTCGTCAGTGAGCTGTGGCAGCCTGCGTAGGCGCAATTCCGGACGCTGGTGGAGGCTAAATTGCCGCGTTTTCTTTTTTATTTTGTGTTTCGTGGCGAACATAATTTATAGAGGTATTTAAGAAAGCAGTGCTCTATTTTTGGGAACAAAAACAAAGAAATGAAAGCTGTTTTGGTGAGTCCGTGCGCGACAGAACAAATGCAACTATAATGTTTGCTTCATTTTATGTTCATCGTTTTACGGCACCGTACACTCAGCGGTGTCAATCTATAAAGGTCAAAATATTTGACCACACAGGATATCCGAACTGCATGGATATTCCCCGCCCACAACATGAAATTCAACGAGCCTCATCAATCGAACAACATATATTTTACGTACCCCACGGTGCCGCGTTATCCGAACAGGATTTGAGAAAGGTCTCAAATAACATAGCGTATCCAATATACAGTGTTGACGATAGTCACTTCACGACAATCGGACGGAATCCGGCGTGTTTTGGGGAACATGTAGAAGAGAGCAGCATTTTTGCACAGCTTCAAAGCAAATGAACGAACGTGTCTATTCTGTCCCCACACCCCGGACCCGACCCTATCAGCTATTTTTCGCGAAGACCCGGAACACAGCCGGGAAGGCTTTTTGGAGATTATCTCAACGGAAATAATCCTCCAAAAACGTCGAACTGCCTGCGTCGCGGGCTGCTTGACGTTCGCTCTCTTCGTTCGTTTCCTGCGAAGGCCGAGCAAGCAGCCTACGAGCCCTGGTATTCTCTGGTTCTCACAGTGGAAGATAACATACAAAGGTTAAGCATCCTAAACAGGCGAATAAAGTAAAAACTTCCAAGAAAAGCCGGCGAACTCCGAATGCAAAATGCAGGTGGTGGGTCACGCTGGCCGGGTTTCCACAGCTCAGGCGGGTGCCAGAAATTTCTGGCTGATAGGGGTCACTCGATTCGCAAAATGGCGGCGGCCGGAGCGCTCTTTTTGCAAAGGTCTATACTACTCTCACTAAACTTGAGCTGTTTTGTGCGTCATTACGCGGAAGGCCAAAAATCACGGAAGCAAGAAAAGAAAAAAAAAAAAAATCAGTGAGCAGACTTTTACTTACGAGATATATAATGTAGGGCATGCAGATGCAAAAACCCGAAGAAAAGGCCGACGATGAGCCAAGTGCAAACGCTCGTAGCGGCGTGGGCATCAGTTCGGCAGCTTGCTGATACATAATCATGAAGGAAGCTGTGCAAGCAAACTTGGCGATGAGCGATGCTGTGACACCGGCCACGATGGCTCCTGAAATGACACAAAAAAAGATGAGATGAATGATAATACCTCCATATTTTTCCCGTTAACTTTTGAGGCAAAGTTCTCTCAGTAAATGCCTTAGATGAGGTTATTGAAATATGAAACGAAAAATTTAAGGATAGTTTACTTCGTTTGAAACCTGTATTATATCGATAATATTTTTTTGTGCCCGATTGGGAGTACACGGCCCTCCCACGTTCTGTGCCTCATGTATGTTTCTAGAAAGACTACATTGCCAGGGGTCGCCTTGTGTTTGTCGAAATTTTTCGATTTATAAATACAGTGAATTCTTTCGAGGCTAGTTTTTAAAATACATTTTAAGTTTTTTGTTTTGTTGTGTCCATCGATAGAGTTTTATAGACGGTGACAAGTTAAGGCTGAAGTGGAAGCTCCTCCCACCTTTTTCCACCTTAGGGGAGCGAATTCTGGAGAGGGGACGATCCTCTCTCTCCAGCGTTCTCTCTGCTAAAGTGGAAAGATGTGGGAGGATCCTTCCACTTCACTCCAAACCTGTCACCGACTATAGGCTGAAGGTCGTATATAACTTTATTATTAACGAAGGGGTAAGCAGTAATAAGTTGAATTTCCACAGGAAAGTGTAAACACAAAATCAGAACGAGAAAGTACTGCAAATTTAGACTATACCCTCCGGGCGGCCACTCCGGCGCCACCGTCGCTTGCGCTCCCCAGCGCCGCCCGTGGTCGACCTAAGAACGATTGGTATGTTCCCATCTGAAAATGGCGGCTCGCACGTGCGATCCGACGGTGCTCTTTTGCGGCTTCAGAAGGATTGACGAGATCGCAGAATATTTCAAAGAAAAGTCACTGAAGTTAGGGGAGCAACTTTATGCGGGCCGTCACGTGTTTGGCCTGAAAGAAGAAGTCCTTCATTCCACAGCTCCCAGCGAAGTTGTAGGGAAATGCCTCGCGCAGATGAAGTCTGCTGTTTACAACGTCCGGCTTCAGGTGAGCGTGCCACCCGGTTCGGTTTCGCGTACCCCCCCTCCACTCCTCATTTGTTGTTGTTCTGTATTCTCGGTTCAACCGTGCATAACACACGTTTTTTTTTTTTTGTTTTTTTTTTTCTACGGCAGCTTTCAGCGCACCCGAGACTCATCGTGGGCGCGAGCTGCACCTGCAAGGCTGGCGTGCGTGGGTGGTGCAAACATGGAGCAGTGTGTCTCTGTCGTCACATTGCATATCTTTGCAGTTGTGTCTCTGTCGTCACATTGCATATCTTTGCAGTTGTGTCTCTGTCGTCACATTGCATCTCGCCTTGTACGACGAAGGGAAGATCGTGGGGATGTAAGCGGGGTGCTGAGCGATGGAGCTTTTTTTGTTTCCTACGAAGTGGCAGCTGCAAATCCTGGCCTGCCCATTCGCGGGTTCCCAGCGAGAAACAATTCTGTATCATGGAGAGCAAACGAAAACCGAGAAGCGACAAAAAAAAAAATGGTTTCTTTACGTTGCCCGCCGCACCGCTGCAACCCATTTCCGTCGACGCTCTGCCTCGTACGGCTTTGCTGGAAATCGGTAAAACTCTACCACTGGGAGCTTCCCAGCTGTGTTTCCGTAGCTGTTGTGGCAGTCGTAAACACAGCAATAAACAGAAGTGCGCTTTTTCGACTGCGTTGTTGCGGACGACATAACGAAAGCAGCCGGGTACGCCTGCACTTTACGCCTGGCAAGCCTAACGCGAAAGCAGTCGGGAAGGGCGGTAACATACCAATAGTTTTTATTTCGTCGGACAGATGGCGCCACGGGTTTTTTCAAAACACCAGCGCCCGGAGCGTATTGTAGATGGTGGTTCAGATGACTAACATTTTCTCACGTGCTTATTTTTATGCAAACCCCATTGTTGGGCGTGCCTTATATTAAACAAATAAAAACTATGACTGCGTTACACCGTATTTGAAGAAGACCAGAGTAAAATAAAGAGTCAAACTGAAAGTGTAGCGAGATGTGATATAGACAGGAAAGAGGACGTATTGTTTATGACGTCTTATACCCTTAAAGGAGGACCAGCAGAAATATTCTTCCGCCTGGCGGAAAGTCCTCCTCGCCCTCTTTCTTTCTTGTATTGTAGCACGGCGAGGGGAAAGGTCTCCTTTTGCGCCGGCTTCTTCTGAGAGGATAAGCCGAGAAAATCCCCATTCTGAGCGACGGGCGATGGGTGCGGCAGCAGCGACCTCGTGACTTAGAGGTAGCTTCAGCTCCTATCGCGTAATCTGCCCCATTTTTTGGCGCTCACCAAGCCTAGCCCCTCGGGTGTAGGTTTTACGGAGCTGCAAGGCTGCGCCCGCGCAGTCACCGAATTTCCGCTGTCGAAGGTCTTTGGTTTAGCCCGTGGCAAAGTAAACGCATACTTGAGAGCTGCGATGCATCCCCGCACCCATTGAAGGAACGTTTCATAGATATTTTCGGTTGATCAAGGAGCTCAAAACACATGCGCGAGAAGTGGTGACTTGAATATGTAAGGATGACTTACATCTTCACAAAACATTCCATCTTCAAGAAAAAACGGCTTATCACGCTCAAACCTGCCTCAAATTGGGATCGATGGAGAAGAGAACGATGTACCAGGCGCGGGCATCTTCTAGAAGGTCTCTGTTTTCTAGCAGCGAGCACAAACATTGTGTGCGTAACTCACACTATATGATGGCCAACGAATGTAGGTGACATTTATATTTACGCATCCCAGCAACCACATGAGGTGAGAAGGCAGCTATGGTGTGTGTCGATACCAAAAAGTTCTAGTGGATCGTCTTTAGCTCTTGGATAACCGCACCCTACAACAATTTATAAGCTATAACCTTTCTGTGAGCATTCTTGATCGAGTGCGGCTATCGAAGCGTCTGATGTTATAGTTCAACGTTGCTTAAATCGGCGCTATAGCACGTGCTGCCACTTCAAAGTATTTCTGAGGCATTAAAAAATAAAAAAATCAACTGTAGCCTTTTTTTAACATAATACGCGTTTGTAATTTGTCTGTGCAAACACATTTTAGTTAGCACGGACAAACTATTGCAGGTCTTTCTGATTTGGTTTTTTAGAAATAAATGATATTTAGAAAGCTGTCAATGCAACTATCCAACCTAAGTGGCAGAGCTCAGTGCTAATGTTGCTGGGCAGAAATAGTAAAAAGCGCCGATGTCGCGTTCGGGCTAAAAGTGCCACGTAATGCACTCGTACCGCTACAAGTGCGTCCGGACATTTCATCGAACGCCGTTTCATCGAATGCTGTTTCACCGAAGCCGTTTCATCGAACGCCGTTTCATCGAACGCCGTTTCATCGAACAATGTTACAGTCTGTAATACTTTGGAACTTACTTTAATTTTTATACACAACTTCATCTCATTCTCTCTTTTTTTTCCTTTTGTTTCTGCTTTTATATCACTGGGTGCAGTGGCGAGATAAGTTCCATCGTGAACATATCCTGCTTCGAGAAGAAAGCCTACATGAAACAATGACCCCTCTTCATGTCACATGAAACAATTAAAAATGAGGCAAAAACAGAAAGCACAGACGCTTAAAAGTGTTTTAAGTGTCTGTCCTTTATTTGCAGCGTCGTGGTTTCAGCCATGTATGTACATGAGTAAAGCTTTTCAGTAAGTCGCATACCCAATTGTTTTTATTTCTTTTTATGCCAATTGCTTTTATTTTTAGTAATTTGACACCACCTTCAAAACAATTTCTCAAGTGACTACCTTAGTCTTAACAAATGCAAGGTGAAACATCTATAAAACACTGTTATGCCCCAAAACTCGGTACAGAGCCATAACTGAGAAATTCGATGAAACGGCCCTTGGCGATTCGATAAAACGGCGTTCGATGAAACGGCGTTCGATGAAATGTTCGTTCATTCGGTGAAACGGCCTTCGATGAAATGGCGAAAAAGTGAGGTTCAGGCTTGGTCGGAGATTGCTACGGTTACACTCGTACGCTTTTTCAGTTCTATCTCGCATAAATAAGCTTCTTGCTCAAATAAACAGGGGCATCTGACTTTTCGCTCATCTTCGCCTTTTGCGCGACTGTTAACAAGGTCTAAAACAGACAAAGCAAAAGTGATTTAATTAGCTCAGGATTATAGGTTGAGCGAAATATTTACAAAGTTCAAGGTTCCCTGAGTCGTCTTTTGTATTCAATTCCCCCTCCCCTCACCACCACTTCCTTCCTCTAAATAAACAACGTAGATTATTTTATGAACCACCAGTAATAGAGCGTACTCGCAAAACGTCTATTTGGCGTAAGAAAGCGTAAGAAAGGCCTTGTTTAAATGTTCGAGCAATGAACTTGTTTTCTTACTGTGCGTGCTACAGCTAGCACAAACACAATATTGACATTTTTACGCAAGGGCCATGCAGAATTTAGTGTATAAGAACAAATTGATGCCTCGTAAGTTGGTGCCCAACGGAAGCACTCTTTACCGAATTGCTTGTTTAAAAATAACAACTTTTCAAACATAAAAATAAAACAAAATAACCCCACTTTTTTGGGGGCCACTAAATTTACTGATTTACTACGTTAGCGTTGATTGTGCAGCGGTATGCGTACATCACGCGACACTGTTAGCGCAAACACGACATCGCGCTTTTTGCTATTTTCCCCAGCAATGTATCGACTCGCACTAAAATCTACCGCTTAGGTTGGATACTCGCATTAGCAGTTTCCTAAACATCGTTCTCTTCTAACAAAAAAAAAAAGTGGGAAACACCGGTGATAGTTTGTGCTAACTGCGTAGCGTAGGGTACTTAAAAGTTTTTTACAATGTTAAATACAATTCTGTGTCACGTTAAAAAAAAAATTGTCTGCTTTTGCCTTAGTTTCTTTGAGACACCACAAATACTTCGAAGTGGCGGTCCGTGCTATGGTACCGATACAAGCAACGTTGAACCATAACACGACACGCTAGACTCGTCAAAAAGGGTTTTAATATTGTCTTTTCGCTCCATAGCCGGATTCGATGAAGAATGTAAACAGCGAGTCTAGCTTACATTTCGTTGTGGGGTACGGACCGTATACGGTTATCTAAGTGGCTAAAAGCGACCCACTAAAACTTTCTAAAATTGACATCCACTCTTGATGCCCTCTCACCTCAGGTGCTTGTTGGGAGTGTGTAAATATGAATTTCATACATTTTGCTGGCCATCATGTTCTGTGAGTTAGGCGCACAACAGGGCATTTTAGTAAATCGTTTTCAAAGGCCCGCTGCCACTTCAGGCGCGCGCTTCAGAGAATGCATCGAAGTGGCAGCGCGAGCTCCCGCTAAATATAGCGTGACCTGAAAACATAGCCTGCTAAAGTTCTTCAATAATTTGTGCTCGCTCCTAGAAAACAGAGACCTTCTCGAAGATGCCCGCGCCTGGTACATCGTTTTCTTTTCCATCGATCCCAATGTGAGGCAGGTTTGAGCGTGATAAGCCGTTTTTTCTTGAAGATGGAATGTTTTGTGAAGATGTAAGTCATCCTTACATATTCAAGTCACCACTTCTCGCGCATGTGTTTTGAGCTCCTTGATCAACCGAAAATATCTATGAAACGTTCCTTCAATGGGTGCGGGGATGAATCGCAGCTCTCAAGTATGCATTTACTTTGCCACGGGCTAAACTAAACGCCTTCGACAGCGGCAATTCGGTGACTGCGCGGGCGCAGCCTTGCAGCTCCGTAAAACCGACACCCGAGGGGCTAGGCTTGGTGAGCGCCAGAAAATGGGGCAGATTACGCGATAGGAGCTGAAGCTACCTCTAACTCACGAGGTCGCTGCTGCCGCACCCATCGCCCGTCGCTCAGAATGGGGATTTTCTCGGCTTATCCTCTCAGAAGAAGCCGGCGCAAAAGGGGACCTTTCCCCTCTCCTCGCCGTGCTACAATACAAGAAAGAAAGAGGGCGAGGAGGACTTTCCGCCAGGCGGAAGAATATTTCTGCTGGTCCTCCTTTAACGCCAATGAATGACCTAAAATCTGCAATTTATAGCTAACGGCTACGCAAATGAGAAAATTGTTCTGAGGTAACAAACGCTCTTTTAGCCTAGTGCTTGGTAAAATTAAGTCTGCATATAACAAGGGCGTGCTGGATCTTGAGCGTAATTTCATTATCGCGCTTTTAGCCGGTCCCACATATTAAGAGTATGACGGACCAAGGATTTCCCGCGTGGATTGTATGTCTTGGGGTAGACGGTGTTTTATGTCGCACAAAGGGGGTACAGGAACAGAACATTCAGGGCCAACTAATTGACTCACGTTTCAGTGACAGGTAATGTTGAATATACTTCTGTTGTCGCTACAGTGCACCATTCATCTGGTCCCAGATCAACTCTTTATGGACGTGTGTAGCGAATTCGTGACACACAGGTTTTATGCTTTTTTTAAACACCTACCTCCATCTGACTCACGTCGACTATCGCGGAACCCCAACGTACGCCCAAACGCGATATAGGCACCTCGTGCCATCTCTCGACGGCGCGGTATACTTCCGCTATAATCACTTTTGCTGGCGGACAGCGGTATTCAGCTCGTGTGAAATTTAACTGAGGGTGGTGTTTTCAAATTCCTTCTAATACGTATGTGTTTCTAACAAAATTCATAAGCTACATTACTTCACGTATACTTGGAACATCGTGGCGAAGAGAAATTCCACGCTCGCTTTGTCACGAATTTACAACATTCGGCATTCAGTGGCGTGCGTATCGCGTTTTCTGCATGTCGAATTTTCCGCAGGACACAATTTCTGCAGTCCCAGCGCTTGCTGTAGGAGAAGTGGAGGTTTTTCTGCGGTTCCGGTCCACTTTGGCACGTTTTTGTTTAGGGATGTTGCGACCCGGTCGATGTTCGAGTTCGACCAGGTTCCGCTTTTTCGAACCTATTGTGAAAAGTTCGGCGACGTTTCGACTCAGGTTCGACTGCTATGCGCATGCGCGACAGGCTGGCCAGTTGGCTTCGGATTGGATGGTGATGGCTAAGGGATGAATGAAGGGCAACACTGATTGGGTATTTCTGTTAATACAGTACAACAAATTAAGCTATTAACTTCTTCAGTGATTAGAAATAGTTTCTTTTAATTGCCACTGTTAACATAATTACTATAATTCTTGGCGTAAAAACATTCTCCAAACCTAGATATGCTTATGTCAAGGTCTGGCCACACTGTCCACGAAGTTGAACTTGTCGAATGAGGTTAAAAGTTTGAAGGTTTGTCGAACCGGTTTAACCAGTCGAACCCCGAAAGTTCGACTTAAAACGCCGGTTCGACAAAAGTTCGCTACCCCTCTATTTTCGTTTGACGGCGGAAAGCTACACTCCGCTTTCATACTCATGGGCAAAGGCTTGGAGCGTGCTCATTCCTTAGGTTTAGACAGCCAATCACACGTTCTGCTGGCTGTCGTCAAGGCTTTTATTGTTGTTAGCACTCCCCAAACTAACGAAAATTCATTCTCTCTCTCAAACCAACAAGCTTTCAGCCTTTCCACTCTGGTGAAGAAGGAAGAGCAGCGGAGCTGTAGCTTCTGTTCTCGGCGGCGGCTTTCCACGCGAGCGATCTGCTCTTATTTCGAAAAGGAATTTGAAGCGCTCGACGCAGTGGAACTTTAGGCGATAGCGGCCTCGCGGCGGTTGCGGAACCATTCGCGCTGCTGCGCACATCGCCGCTCGTTCCGTTCCCGCTCTTCTTGCCCCGAAGAAATGTTGCCGCCATCTATGATCGATGGCAGCAACCAGTTGTCTGGCTGCCGATGCTGGAAAGGCTGCCGCGATCTATGAGCGACAGCGGCAAACAGACAACCGGCAAACACAACACTCTAGACAGCTTCCGCCATCTATGAGCGACGGCGGTAACCAGAGTTTTGTGTCGACCACGGGTGTCGATATTTGTTTGGTACCGGACATGATCTTGGGGAAACTAACCGTTAACAGCTCCGCTGTAAAAGAAATGTAGGGGACGACAACGAGGAGGAAAGCTGAACTGTTTGAGCGGTTGATGTCATCACTAAAAATGTACGCGCGTGCCGGAAGTTTCACGCTCTTCAAAAAGTGTCCTTTTTGTTTTTTCCTGTGAGTGGCATTTGTTGTGGACTATTTCGACATCTCTTTTACGATGTCTAGAACTTGTAGCGCCATCTCTTAATAAGCGTAGCGAGCGGATGACGCCCTCTGCGCCTGTCGGGAGAGGGCGCAACAAATTACAACTACCGTTACACTCGGCAACATTTCTTGGCAATGCAGTGGACTGCACATGCGCGCGTTCCCTCTCCCATTTTGAGCGCTGAATAAAGCTGTACGCGGGCTCTCCTCTCCACTGCATTGCCAATAAAAGTTGTCGCCGAGTATAACTCGGTCGTCTGCAAGCACGTCCGCAGTTAAGCCTTTCAAGTTTATTGGTCTCCTTTTTTTACAAAAAAAAAAGAAAAAAAAAAGAGAGCTACGCCTTTAAATTTCTCAAGGATAAATGCACAACTAAAATTGACCTTTGGTAAAATTTCTAGCTTTTCACGTGCAGGTCCCAATTTTTCCGGCTCGTTTTACAGTGATAGTATCCTCGTGGACGACCCGCACGTTAAAGCGGGGTACGCCGCATCACTGACCCGATGGAATGAAACAAGATGCGACACAGGCCATGCTGACGAGCAGCTGGTAGCCGACGTTCGTCCACCGCCGGCCATAGTGCTCCATGGTCCACCAGGCCGCGAACGAAGCAGGAAACTCAACGAGCCCCAGCAGGAAGAAGTTGAGGAACTCGTTGCCGCTCATGTTGCTCACGTTGATGTGCAGGCCGTAGTAGGCACAGTTGTTGGCCACCCTGTGGCGTAGCGGAGGCGACATAAAAAAAATTGCGAAGCGTTATACTCGTCATAATTTAAGAACTCCAGGTTAGGGTAAGTTGAACCGACAGTAGAGTAACTGACGTAATAAGAACGACGGGAAGGGGCTTCATTTATACTGCGTCCAGCGCCAGCTTCCTACCTTCGATAACGCTTCAGGATCTCATGAGCTTCGAGCGTGCGCAAGTAGCCAAAGCACGACGGAGGGCGAGGAGGGCGTGCTAGAGGCCTGGCATTTGAAACAGTACCTGCCGTTCTCATTCTTACGGTGACTATAATCGTTTTGCAGTCGGTTTCATTTGCTTTGATCAGTGATGTTGGCGCATTGTAGGCCGCCTGGCCACCGTAGAATCCATGCAGTGATGTAACTTGATCAGACACATTGGTGGTTTGGGCGCGTGACAGCGTAGCTTCTATTGCATTAACGGAACGTTCCTGACTTCGAGGAAGAGCGTGAAAGAACACCGTGTGCACGCGACGTATAGCGTAGTTGTTATAAGCGGTGCCCTTCCAAAGACAAGCTACTGGTACGGACGGATCAAGAGCGGTAGGGTTTGTCCATCCCCGATTACTCCGCTCAAAGTATGGTTACTGACAGTTTAAGAAACGTAGGGCATGGTTAGCCCAGAGCACCTTATTAGCGCTCCGCAGCCAAAACGACTGCGGCATTTGCCGATAAGAACCTCGGAGAACAAATCGCGACGCAAGAAGTGTAAACATAATATAAGACACCCTTCCTTTCTTCAGCTGTTAGTAACCATATATACAGGTAGCGTATGAGCTACGATAAACAATCTGGAAATATGGTGCACAAACTGACGCCCTCCTAAGTTCAAAAGTTCTGTTGTTTTCCGTTTACCAATGACTGTAGAGAAAGTAGTAAGTTGTATTACCAACATATTTAGTTCTTATCGTATGCCGCTCTGTACCAACAAAACATTACAGACTAATGTAACGCCTCGTTCTTAGGACGTGGTAATATTCGCGCAGTCGAAAGCGGAATGCTACACATTTGACATTTTAACACCCTTATTCGTGTGAATGGCTCATCCTCTGGCTAACGCCTTTACTCGTGTAAGGGTGTTAGCCACCGGAGGTAAGGAAAATCGTGTAACTGCTTACACCCTAAAAACAATATGGCGGCTAGTATGCGACAGGCGTACGATTAAAAGGCTTGGCGAGCCGCACACGGCTTCTCGCCGGATGGAGAGCATACGGCTTGTACGCTTATTTGGTGTCATCTGTAGGCTCAAAAAAACTTTTCGAACATCTCTCTGTCAAAGCGCCAACACAGCACGTAATACGAGTAAGGCCGAAAGCGCTAGAGGCTGAACAGCCGAGATTGCCGCCGAAGTCTCGCTCGGCCTGCTCAATGTCGGTCGCATTTTCATCGCATCAGAAGCGTTCATAAAGAAGGGATCGGTTTACAAGCATTGGCATGCTGGCTTTATTGAACACAACGCCCACTTGCCGTGAGCGACAACGAATCGCTTCGACACCACCTGTCAACAGTGGCTAGAAGGCATCGCACTGACGTTCTCCGTGTCACTCTCGGTCAACTAATGCCGGTGCTCACCTCTGTTACGTGTGTTATTCACTCATGGACGTTCGTGCGTGAACAGCGGCATTCAGCACATAGAACACGCACTGGGAAAGCCGCATAATCTCCTTTCGTTACAATCAGGCAGCATAACACGACTACCATAGGGATAAAATCAAAGCGGTCAACGCGACGGATGAACTCATGGAATCTTTGATGATAAATTTCCAGCCCTCTAATAGTGATAGATCACCAGCCGCCAAACATTTAAAATTGGGTTGCAAAAACCTCCATCTAGCGACGACAAATAAAAGTGCTAAATATATGGGGAAAAAAATAAAATAGCAAAATCCGCGCGACCAGATGATCACTCACGTTACGGACCTACACACACAACATAACACTGCACATGCGCACACACGCGAGTAGAAGCATTAGAGCGCAGTAATACAGTAACACAGTAACACAACAACAGTACATCGTCCCTATACGACCTAAACAGTGCCCCGATCGGTATATATGCCGTGCCTTTTCGCGCATCAGATAGTCCAGTGACCACGCTAGCCTTGATAAACATATGAAACGATTGAGCCAATATTGTTCCCCAATAAAATTTTCCTGCATTTCTCTTAAGTATAGTACACATATCCCTTAATAACTTCCTACCGCATAGTGTATTATATATGATATGCGCCCAACTTCTTGTAACTCAACGTGAGTGAAAAAAAAGATCGTGTGAATTCTGTCTGGCTACCACACTCGCGGGGTGGTGGCTATAGCGACGCTGTCGTTGCGGGCACAGCTGGTTCGGCAGCGGCCGAGTGCACTGTGAACGCCGCAAACGCGATCGGGAGAACAAAGCGTTGACTGGAGACTTGGATAAATAAGAAGAAAATAGATGGTGCTATGGAGAATTCGGAAATAAATCCTGCGAGTGGGCAGGAGCTGGGCATTGCAGAAAGCAATATGTGGCTAGGACGCATACGGAAGCTGTACGTAATGTAGTTTCCGCCCGTTCAAAAGCTAGCAGCCTAGAAATCCACATACTTCAGTGGCTTCATCATCGGCTTCAGTGGCTTCGTCATCGGAAAGAACTGTCAACTGAATTAGTTCCAAAACGCGCGTGCGTCAGGCAGCGCAACGTGTCGCGTTCCACGCAAAAGTCGGCAAGTGACACGAGGTATGGGACAGCGAAGGGAAAAATTGGCATCTGAACGTAACCAGGGGTGTACTATTCGATTGGTGCATTTTATCTTGTGAAATTACGAGGCGTATCGTCGTTCTTGTGAAAAGTTAGGCTCACCTACGTTCCTGTATAATCCAATAAAGACGAAAGCAATTGCCGGCGGTAAACTCGGTCGTCCGTGGCGAACTCATTTTTAACATTTTTTAGGATGTTCTAACTTTGCAAAAGAACGGAGCGCCTTAAAATTTCCCAAGGTAAAGTTCACCATAAGGTATACACTGCTGAGGAAACTGGACGCCTGTTGCCTGCAGGCGCCGCTTTTTCCGGCTGAGTTTAGCGCGCTATGAGATGCAGTGTGCAGTTACGGGAAGTTTTGGCATGATATAATGTTGCTCACAGGAAAGAAAAAAAAAAGAAATGCCGACATCATATGTTGTTTACACGCTTGGTCATTTTAGGGACCTTAAGTACTCTTTTTTATGAGAGGTATTGGGCACCAGCACATTTTACGGAGGAACGAAGAGTGGAATACGGCCAATTTACTTTTACATTAACATCAAATGAGTGCTGTGAAAGCAAAGAAGAAAGTGAGGATGAAGCAGTTCCTGCTGTAGTAAGTGCCAAAAACAAGAAAAGTGTCCCAAAGTGGAAAATATGCACTCCTGAAAGGGATCCAAAAGAAATAGTGTTCATCAGGTAAATAGAGCCACGCCGAACGTCACAGACCTGGATACTTCATTCCAGTTTTTTAAATGCCAATCCCCTGATGAGGTGTTTACAGCGATCTTTGGGGGAACCATCCTGTACACAACGAAATGTCACCCTGAACACCATGTTCGGATTCCGGTCCCACCTACCCACGCAGGATGTCCTGCTCCAGGTCAACTAGGATATCTTCGACGAATTCTCCTGTACGACGACGCAGGTGCTCCTGGCCCGGGACATGAAGGGCGTCTTCGACAACGTCAGCCACACGCTGGTGCTCGGGAACCTTTTCCTCGACTGGGTGCGGGGCCTGGATGTCTGATTTTGTGGGGGTTTTCCTCAGCAACCACACGGCCACCATCGGCGTCGAGTCCATCCTCATGGGCACCATCCCGGTCCCGAGCAAGGGCACCCCGCAAGGCTTTGTCCTGTCACCCAGCTTGTTACCTGGTGATGTGCAAGCCGCCTTCTCTACTGGAACGGATTCCCCGGATGAATCACACCCTTTATGAGGACGACCTGACAATTTGGGCTACGTCAGGATCGGACGGCGAGAAGCAAGGATTCATCGAAGGAGGCCGGCAATCTCCAGCGCGCCCCCGATAAGTCTCAGCTGCTGCTCGTCCGCGCGGGCAAGCCGATCCTCGAAGAACAAGGAGGCGGACATCCGCCTCACTTTGAAGGATGGTACCCCCGTGCCGGTGGTGGAGCGGTTCCGGATACTGGACCTTCGCCTCCAGCGGGACGGCGGAGCCAAATACATGGTCGACCGACTGGTCGGGACAACCACGCAAGTCATGCACATGATGAACAGGATAATCAGTCACAGACACGGGCTCAAAGAGCCGGACCAGATCTGGCTGACCCAGGCACTCGTCGTGAGCCACATCACCTACGCTACTCCGTATCTCAAACTGCTGTCGAGAGGTAAGGGCAAGATGGACGTGATCATTCGCAAGATGTACAAGCTGGCACTGGGGGTGCCGCCGCACGCGACGAACGCCCAGCTCCTGCGGCTGGGCGTGAACAACACCTTCCAGGAACTCATCGACGCACACCCAGTCAGTCAGCGGGAGCGCCTTGCCCTCACACGGATTGGTCGGCACGTTCTGAGATCGCTCGGGTTCCCCATCCCCGCATCGCAACGTGAGGCTATCCAGCTACCGCTGGCCCTACGGGACAAGATCCAGGTGGCACCAATCCCGTGGTACATGAGCCCATCCCTGCATCTAGGTTGCTGAACGGCTCAGTACAAGGATATGCAATGGATTTACGGCAAGCGGGACGACGTCTTCTACACGAATGTTGCACTCTACACCGGCCACGCCGCTGCGGCGATGAGCGGGATCGACAGCGACCTCAACACAGTTGTCACGGCCTCGGTTTGCACCATCTAACCGGTGGTGGCGGAGAAGGTCGGGATCGCAATAGCCATTGTCTCCCCCACGGAGACGGAGCACGTGACCGTCCTTTCAGACTCAAAAGTGGCCATTAGACAGTTTCGCGAAGGAAGAGTCTCCCCGCAAGCCTTCTGCATCCCGAGGAAG